TTACTGGCGCCCTCCCCACCCCCCCGCGCAAATAAATCATAGAATCATAGAACAAGCCAGGTTGGAAGGGACCTCGAAAGATCCTCTGGTCCAACATTTCATGGGAAAACGAGCCTAGATAAGATCATAGAATCATAGAATCATTGAGGTTGGAAAAGACCTCTAAGATCATCGAGTCCAACCGTCGACTCAACACGACCATGTCCACTAAACCATGTCCCTAAGTGCCGCATCAACACGTCTTTTAAATACTTCCAGGGATGGTGACTCAAGAGTAGAGTGGGATGATCACATCTCTGTCTCTGCTAGCAATGCCCCTGCGGATGCAGCCCAGGATCCAATCTACCTTTGTTGCTGCAGTGGCACACTGCTGACTCCTGTTCAGCTTGTTGTCTACCAGGACGCCCAGGTCCTTTTCAGCAAGGCTCCTCCCCAGCCGTACAGAGATCCTAGCCTGTACTGGGCTCTTTGGTTATGTCGTCCCAGGTGCAGGACCTTGTACTTGTCACAGCTTTGGACACTATGCCCCCAAGTTCGTTAGTTTAAAGCAAGATTGGCAAGTCAGCCAATCTGCTAGCGAAGATTCTGCTGCCTCTTCTAGGTAGGTTGATACTATCTCTCCCCAATAGGCTGTATTCGTTGAAGGACTTCCCATGATCATAGAAACCAAAGCCCTAGTGACAACACCAGCCATGAAGCCATGTATTGATCTGCATGATGCATCATTGACTTCTGCCTGCACCCCTATCTCTGATTGGCAAGGCAGAGAAGAAAATCACTTGGGCACCTGTACCCTTTACTTGTGCCTCCAAGGCTCTGAAGTCCTGCCTTGATCTTGCCCAGGTTTTGCTTTACCATGTCATTGGTGCCCACGTGGAAAAGAAGTAGGGGACAGTAGTCTGTGCTTTTAACCAGCTGTGGCAGTTATCTCCCTCTGACATCCCAGATCTTGGCTCCTGGCAAGCGGCAAACCTCCCTTGGCTGTATACCAGGCCGGCAGATGGATGCCTTGGTGCCTTTCAGCAGAGTCATCCACTACTAGCACTTGCTGTGTACTTTTGCAGCTTTTACTATGTGCTGCTAGTGTGCTTCTCCCTGCGAGTCTTGCTCATGGTTTTTGTCCTCTACCAAGGCTTCATATCTGTTGCTGGTTGGTACATATGAGGAAGGGGAGTGAAATGATAGTCTGTTCCTACGGGTCATCAGAGACCTTGGCACCTCCTTCTCCAAGTGTGGCAGGTGCACCCACCCTGACAAAGACGGGGGGCATTAGGACTGCCGCGTCCTTACTTTTCGCACCCTTACTTTCGCGCCTTTAAGATGGCGAGTGCTGACCGTCACGTACAGGCCTTGGGGCAGTGATTATGGTCACGTATACACCTCAGGCGAGGAGTAAGAAAGTTAAGGCCCTCAGCCAATTAGAATTGACCACAGATCAGATTCGACTAGGGTATAAATGGAGCCCTGCTGGAGGGCAAGTTGAGTCGGTCCTCCACGGGAGCAGCGGGTCTGCAGTCAGGGACTCTCCCCTTGGGCCGCCCAAGGAAACTCCTTGAGGTTGAGCCCTCACCTTATAGGTGAGTGAGTGTGCACATTTTGGATCCTCATTTCTAAAGCTGGCTGTGCAGTATTAATCCCTCGTACACCATCCTGAACCTGTGGTTTACTGATGTTGTTGGGAGTGTTGAACAATTTTGATGAGCCTTATTTCTAGTTAGTTTTCTGCTAAACAATTTTGGTTTAAATAAAGTTTATTTTTGAATTTGTCACCTGCCTAATTTGATTTCGTGAGCCTCTGCAACACCAAGGTGCTGTTAGTTTGTTGCTGAAGCTCTTTGTCCAGCAGTCTCTGGAGGTCAGTGCCACAGGGCCCTAGTACTTCTTGCAAAGTCTCAAATAATACTCTATTTCTTGTTCATCCTCCTTCATACAGCATAACCTGCTAACTTCCCCCTGCAGCTCTTCCACCCACTGCCTGAGTGACCCCACCAGAGCACACCTTGCACAGGTGGAGCTTCCACCCTCCTCCACCCAGGAGGCAGGGGTGCAGTCTTTGCAGCCCTCCACCTGGACAGCAGCTGCCCTGATAGCAAGCTCTGTCTGGGTGGCTGCCTCCACCCATCCTGGGCTTGCCTGGCCTGCCAACCTCAAAGCCCTTCTAATTCCCTGGAGACCTCAAGCTGCTGGGTAGGCTTGCACAGCATCAGCTAGCTGGGGCGACCGTCGGGACAGCAGGCTAAGCCTGCGGGTAAGCAGAGCAAGCAGCAGCCTGATCTCTAGCAGAGTGCGCAGCCCTTCCCGCGCGAACTGCTGGCACCGCTCCCCTCAGTCGCCGCTCCCTGCGCACCCTATGTACTGCCCGTGCCGCTCTCCTCAGGCACCCGTGCCTGTTTGCACGCCCTGTTTGCGGCGCTCCTGGTGGCTGGCGCTGCCCCCGGGGCTGGTTTGACCTGGCCGCCGGGACAGCCGGCACTGCCGAGCTCTCACCCGCTGCTCTCCTCTGATGAGACCTGCCGCCTTGCCGGCCGGTCCCTCCCCACACACAGCCCAATGGTGTGGTGGGCCCAGAACCCCCCTCAGACACGCTGCGGGGACCTCACAAGCCTGGCGCTCCTCTCAGCACGAGGCGACTGCCGCTCGTGCTGCTAGTGTCGGCTTCCCGTGGTTTCAGTACTGTTGTAAGGAGGTAGTTCAGGGAGTATTCTACACTGAGGGAGGGATCGTATCTGTAAAAATTAAGAAATGAGCCTAGAATCCTTTCTTTTTGGAAGGAAAGATTAAAGCATCAGACAAATCAGTGGTTTGCATTTCTTCAGAGTAATACTTAGATGAAATCAAGTTTCCAACATGTTTTTCTGGTCACTGACTTTTTCAGAATCACTTTTTATGTGGTTGCATTGAAAATGTTTTCAGAAAAAACATCCCAATCTTGTGGTAGTTCTTATAATGTGGAAATTGCTATAATTTACAAGGACTGAAGTACCTACTTTGGCTACTACAAGTGCCTATGTTGATACAGTTAACCATAACGGGGCTTCAGTGCTTATATACCTTTGAAGCTCTGTACAATACCTCTTCAGCCGAGTAACTGATTCTTTTGGGGACTGCAGAATGCAGAAGACATTGTGGACACTAATAAGCAATTAAATAAAAAGAAATTTACAGAACATCTCATACAATTGTGCTTTTGAACATTTTGTTTTAATCAACAGTTCTGCTTTTCAGGTTTCGTAGTAATATAACCTGTTAATATCTCTGAATGTATGTTTTTAATTTCCATTAGCATTAATTGGAGCTAAACATTTGCATTAAGTACATCTCCCTTGAGCTCTCTAATATTGCTTGCAAAATGTAATCAGATAGTAAATGATTGTGAATGTACAATTAGAGTACAGATGGTTTCAACTGTGAATTACAGTCTTAATATTAATAAACCTGTTTTTTTTACTGGACGCTTTCTAATATCCTAGTAAAAAAGTGTTAGTAATGTATGTTAACATTATTGAGTAAACTAGTAAAAGTTAATCCATGTATATTATAGATTATCGTATAGTCATGATTTATTTAACAAATACAGTTAAACCACCTTTTGTTTATTTGGACTGCAGGTCCTCAGCTTGTATGGAGAATCTTGTCACATTCAGTTTTAAGTCTGAATGTCAGGTGCATGTGGTTAACTGTGAGAAATTTGGAAGGTAGACAGGATCTTGTGGGCTGAAAAGATTATGAAGTGCCGATGTAAAATATTCTTTGTGCATTGAATGGTTCCTCAGAACTTATATCTCTGCTGCTGACTCCACTTCCATAAACTTCTCGCCTCCTTAAATTAAAAAAAAAACCAAAATTTTAAACTCGGCAGGGTGAAGTGTCTTTAAAGTTGAACCTCTGCCACTTGTAGTGAGATATAAACTGAAAGTACAGCTTATTACCTGACCTATTTTTGTTCATTGTCTTTCCTAAGTATTTTCAGAAGTTATTAAATAATTTGTGTTATCATTTAAGTGTCCATTTTGTGAACCTCAGAAAAATCTATACCTGTAGATCCTAGTGTCATCTTCCCCTCCCACAGCATCTCCCAAACTACTTACTGTTTCCCAAAGAAAATTAGTGGGAGGAAACTAAGGTGGCATCTTGCTGGTGAGCAGTTGTTTCCTTCTTAATTTAGAATGATCTTTCATTTAGTCCGTATCATCAGCTGTGTCTATATGAAGATTTGTTTCCATTATTTTTAATTTCCTTCTTCCTGTTGTGTTCATTCCTTATCTGGTTGCTTTTTATCTGAGTCTTAATTATCCAAGGTGACGTGTACTCGCACCTAACTCCAAGTATGTGAGCCTTTAAGTGTTTAACGTTAAAGGTACTGTTTTGAATTGATGCCTGAGTTAATTTTGCCAATGTAATATTGGCACACTGGGTCTTTGGAGCACTATTACTGTATTAATGAATGCTTCCGGTCCTTTAACCCGTTGCTTTGCCTGTGATTTATAGCTTGTGTCCCACAATGCACTTGAATAGGACTTCGGCTGTGAAGATTATACAGAGATGTTAATTTAGAACATAAAGATAATATAGCAATCTGACAGCTCAGCTGATGCTACTTTTTTATAACACTATGATGAGGTAATTCTTGCATTAATTCTGTAATCATTTCATATAGATTTCCAGTGGGTCCAGGGAGATGTATGTGAAGTTCAATTGATGGTGTACAACCCTATGCCTTTTGAGCTCCGAGTAGAAAACATGGTACGTATCTTCCTAAGTCTCCCCTTTTTATTATTTTTTTTCTGAAAAATTTCTCAGTTGAACTTTCGAATATGGTTTTCTATAAATCAAATAGTTTAAAAAATCGTTTAAGCCAGCGTAACCTCAGTTTAACAGTGCAGTACTGTCAATTTTCTCGTATTTGTTGGTAATGAGGTATTGAAATGAAAATCTCTGCCACTCAGAGTGTTTAAATGGTTTACTGTTACTGACCCGTAAATCAATTCTGTACCTTTCTGCATTGACTAGAAGTCATGCTACATAATTTACATATACTGGTTTTCAGGTAATAATTATATCCCGAAAACTAATAATTAGTGTATACTTACTACTGTAATTTAAAAATCTGCATTCATCCTAGCTTTTCAAATTCCCATTTTGGCCACATTTTTAAAAATCTGGGGAATTAAAATAGTTAGTTCTGAGAAGCTTTGTTTTTTCATAGAAACTTCAGCTCACAGATCTGCTGTTCCCAAGGATATATGTTATTTGAAAATACCGTAAGCTAAAATGATCAGGAGGGAGGAAAAAAAGGCTAAAAAAACAGAGAAGCATGTAAGGTTGGAAGGATCAAGCCCAAACCATCTACTACTTCAGTCAACTATCTGATACTAATTTTGTGGACTGCTTGCAGTGTATCCTGAAACAAAGTGAATTGGTTTTTTCCCCCCCCCTTTATGCCAACTAACAGGACTTTTTTGTTTGTTATCCATTTAAAGGTTAAAAGTCCTCTAACTGCCAAACCAACTTAATCTCCACTCCATCCTAATCCAGTGTTATCCTTTATGTTAAATATTTTTACCTTTAATATTGCTTTAAAAAATAAATCCCATCTCTTAGAGCCCATTGTTCTGTTAGGCTAAGTGAATCAGCATATATTTATTTGCTCAGGATTTTTGTTTGGTTTTTTTATTGATAGGTCTACTGCAGTGGCTAGATTGATAGGTCTACAGCAGTGGCTAGTTAAACAATTTTTACCTAAATTCTGATAATATGCCACATATAATAAAGTGTTTTTCCATAGGAAAGGAACATGCCCAAAGATTGTGCTTATAGGAAAATAAAATTCATTCTTGGAAGCTAACACACTGGTTTCTTCAGCAGCATTTTATCTAACCCTCACCAAAGTATTCCAAATTGTTAGTAATGAATAGAAAAAGTAATTGTAAAGCTGAGCATGAGAAAGGACTCTATAGGAATTAATTTAAGAACATTTTGATTTATAGTCTAATTTGTATTGTGTAAGTAATGATGTAATTATATATTTAAAAAACTGGGTTTGGATAATTTCTTAATTTCTTTATGGGAAAATTTCTTATGAGTGCTTACATACACTTAAGGACTCAGAATACAGCTATTTGCATAGATGTGCGCTCCATCCATTCCCTGAGCAAATTAATCGTAGTAGCGTGAATACTTCTTTTTACTGTTAGCGTGATAAAGTTCCATCTTTGAATTAATACTGAATTTCAGAAAGCATAAGAGGAAGCAGGCATGCAAACTAGATACAAATAATTGAAGTGATTAATGTAATTCTTTAGTCAGTGCGCCATAAATAGAGTGCTTTGAGAAACTCTGCTGTGCGCTAACGGCATCTCATTGGTAGAAATTAGTTGATTTTGCTTGAGTTGTCTGTGGTACCAAGACTGTAGCCAGCAAGTTGAGGAAAGTAATTATTCCCCTCAATTTGGCATTTGAGATCCAATGTCTTTAAAACCAAGGTCAGTTTTGAGCTCCGCGTGCAATAGAAATATTGACATACTGGTATCAGTCCAGCAGTATTACCAAGATGATTGGCAGGCTGGAGCATATGACAGATGAGGACAGGTTCAAAGAGCTGCATCTGTTCAGTTTGTAGAAGAGAAGAATACTGGGGTAATTCCTATTGCTTTCATTGATCCCAAAATGGGAAGGTGTAGTGAAAACGGAGCCAGACTCTTCCCAGAGGTGCCCAGTGTGAGGGTGAGAATCAGGGAACACGTTGCAGCAATGGAAAATTTTCCTAATAAAAAGTTCCCTTTTTCCAATCATGAGGGTTATCATATACTGGAACTGGTTGCCCAGAGAGAACGTGGGATCTCTATCTTTAGGAATCTTCAAAACTTGTGTGTATAGGACAGTGAAAAATGGAAACTACCATCAAAGCTGGCCCTGTTTTGAGCAGTGGCCTGGGCAAGAGGACCTCTAGCATTTCCTTCCAGTCTAAATTGTTCTGATTTTCCAGTCTCATCTGTAAGCTTTCTAGAATGTGGGAATAGTTATGACTTTATCACAAGAATAAACTCTTTAGGTTTTATTTTAATAATTCAAAGCTTTGTTTAATATTTTAAAATATTTTGGTTTATTATTAACATGTACTCATGCCAGCAGTCCCCATGCCCCCTTGTTGTCTGATTTCTCATCAGGTATCACATTCTGTCCTATTATTTAGTCTCATAGAATCATTTTCATAGCAAGCATATCCTTTTCTGTCATTTAGTGGCAGGGGGGGGGGGGTTGTTTTTCCCCATTTTTTTTCCCACAACTTTTTTCCTTCTGACTGACTCAGCACCTTACCTTTGCAGTATGACTACTCACTCAAGCTTGTTTCCAATGACTGGCAGTTTGTTCTTCTTTCAGTTCTCCATTGCTTGATTTCCTTTGTTCTTTACCCTTTTCGTGGTTCACCATTCATCAGCATGTAACTGTCCTGAAATCTAGTCTTACTCCTTTTTTCTAATTTTCCCTTTCCCTCGTCTTTCAGTTTGTGATTTGTTGTTCTGTTGGCTTATTTGTTTCATGTTAAATGAAAGCATCGATCCAGACTTTTTATCACGATACTTTTCCTAATGTGTCTTCCTGTTTGTTATGGCTGAAAGTTGTGATGATAAACAACTTAGTATTATTCTCCTTAAAGTTGTTAAGGAGAATGTTTCCTCATTGAAAGGCTTCTCTAGCTTTTTTCATTATTTGAAGTATTCATGCTAAGTACATGTAGTTTAATTGAGGTATGCTTAAGTAAAAGAAATTGGATTTTTAGACTTGACATGAGACTGTGGAGACAAGACTTTGATCAGTGTTGCTCAGATGATAAGCCCTGTACTGTCTGAAAAGTTGATTTTTTTTTTTGTTTTATTGTTCTCAAAGCTCTTTGCCCATCTTTGTTGTTCTTGCTTTTTATTTTCTGTCATGAATATTCATGATTTGGGACTCTATTTAGATACCTATTCTTCATGCGTATCCCATTTCTGTATTACTTTTCTGTCTTTTTCTATTTCATGTTTTTGTTTTATCCATATAGTTAGAAGGCTGATCCATTGAAAGGTGTAATAGTGTTTGTAAAATGACAAAGGAAAATGTTTAGTCATGGAATATGGATGTGATTAAGTCCAACAACTGTGTATTTTAGTCAATAAAGCGAAGTAGGAGAGAGCATAGGGGTGATCAGACGAAAGGCTTTAATAAAACTTAGCAGGTACCTTAAATCAACAGAGTGAGAGACAGACAAAAATGAGCCTAACGAAGCTTTGACTGCAATGGCTTAGACAGAATATTTTTGCTATCCTGGTGGTGGAGACCAAGTTAACAGGAGATGTGATGTTCAGCTGTAAATAAGTGTATATACCACTTTACTTTTTTTTCCCCAGGAATATTGATTTCTGTATAAACTTGTTCAGGTATGTGAATGATAGCTTCTGTCTCTTTTGTGGTTACTAAGCCTTTTTTCTGTCCAGGAAAAAATGACCTTCAGATTTCAGGCCTTCAGAAAACCCCCAAAATTCTGGGAAATATCTGAGGGATTTATTTTGTATCTTGGTTAAAGCAGTAAATCATGGTACAGTCTAGTGAGATCTACTATTAAAATAAAATGCATGTGAAGATGCACTGCAAAGTGTGTTAAGTTCTCTGGTTACTAAGCCTTTTTTCTGTCCAGGAAAAAATGACCTTCAGATTTCAGGCCTTCAGAAAACCCCCAAAATTCTGGGAAATATCTGAGGGATTTATTTTGTATCTTGGTTAAAGCAGTAAATCATGGTACAGTCTAGTGAGATCTACTATTAAAATAAAATGCATGTGAAGATGCACTGCAAAGTGTGTTAAGTTCTCTAAGATTTTTAGCTACTTTGTTTCTCAAGTTTCATATAAAAGAAAAAAAAAAAAACAACCACCAGCTGAGAAATTTTGAGGCAATGTTATTTATTGAGTGAAAGCATTTTTTGTGCCCCTCTACTCGGCACTGGTAAGGCCGCACCTTGAATACTGTGTTCATTTTTGGGCCCCTCACTACAAGAGGGACATTGAGGTGCTGGAGCGTGTCCAGAGAAAGGCAACGAGGCTGGTGAGGGGTCTGGAGAACAAGTCTTCTGAGGAGTGGCTGAGGGAACTGGGGTTGTTTAGCCTG